ACCTTAATGATTCTATGATTCTAAATCTCTTTCTGACCTCCAACATTAGACATTCTGCAGCTTTGCAAAGCATAAAATGCTACTGCACTGAATGCATCATTATTTGGTAATGTGAGAAAATAATAGCTTTTTAAGTTAACCGGTACATGTTTTCTTTAACAAATTAACTCATCACAGGAAAATCATGAATGCCACCAATGCCCATAAGTTTTTCTTCATTCACTCAAGCATCTCTTTATATCAAAGAAAATAATAATTATTATTATTTTGAAAGAAGTCAGACATTAGGAGCACACTGTCCTAGATCTAAATGTCTCATCCATTCATTTCACATGAAAAATAAAGAAAGAGATAGCCTCTTTCCTTACCTTCAAAAACCCAGAAATTTAGGTTCATTCTTTAAATGTTTGCTTACTAAAAATGACGGCAAAATATTTAGTGTACACATTACATTTTGTTCTAATTAGACACAGCTGCCAGTGACATAACCATCTTCCTTCTATCCATTTGGTTACCTCTCTTCTTTCTATTTCTTTCCTCCTTTCCTCTTCTCTCTGCCGTTCCAATTCCCGTTGTTTTTCCAACTGTTTCTCTAGCTCCAGTTGTCTTTTACGTTCTTGCTCCTGCCGCTCACGTTCTTTCCTTTCCTGCTCTGCCCGTTCCAGCTGTGCTAGACGCTCTTGTTCTTTGCGTTGCTGTTCCAAGAGAGCCTGCCTCCGTTTTTCAAGTTCTAGATTGCCACGTTCAAAGTTCTCCCGTTTTTTATCTTCAAATGTAACTTTAATGTGTGGAAACATGAGGCAAAGGAGAATTAAAGTCTACTACTGACTTTAAAAAAAAAAAATCCATATATGCTGAATCAAAGTGAAACAACCTTTCAACAGGTTTTATCATTAGCATTTGTATTGTAGATCCCCTTTAACCTACATTCTTAGGAAACCAAGGTATGAATTTCAGTTCCCATTCCTCAGGCTTCTAGGTTTCGCCACAAAGCCCAACAAGTGGGTATAATTTAGACAAACCATTCACCAGCTAATCCTCTGTGAGAACACAGGATATGGAGTTCCTCTATACATTTGTTAACAGTAGCAGTACAAGAACCAACACTTCAATTACTGCAAGGCAAAGAATTCAGCTAATGATATTATCAAAAAGCCATTATGCAAACAACCAGAATGTATTTAAACTTGATATTCTCATAAGATTACTCATTACTGTCAGGAAAAGAAATGGTTTGCTTAAGTTCTTGAGCAGCGGAACTCAGGAAGACTGGATTCCTGCAGATTCGCATCCTCATCACTTACTGTCCTAAAAGAATGACATCAGTTCCAGCACGGGTTCCCTGACATTCTTCTGCAATATCAGGGATTGTCCTTCCCCTGTTCCACATTCCTAGGCCCCTCCCTCACAGTTCCTCCAAATTAATCTTTCCACTTTCACCTTCTGTTTCTTTTCATACCCTATATACCCCATATTCTGTATTTCTCTCCCTGCATACCCAACATGTACATTTTGGCATGCAAGTCAAGTCAAGAGAGAGCACATATTTACTTCAAAGTGTGCATGCACTAACTGTTTGACACATTGGCCCGACATCTGCTGCACCAATTCTTGTCTTTCTCTAAGTTTGGCCCCCTTTCCTATTGCCAATCACCAATTTTCATAAAACTTGAAAAAATTCAACCACTTCAGTGTCTGTCAAGTTTGTTTAAAATTAGCCACAGCATTCAAAGAATATTAAGATACAGACTGATAGACAGAGAATGTGATTATAACCCCCACTGATTTAGGAAACCAAGCAAAAAGGGGGGGGGGGAAAAAGGAAAAAAAAAAGATTTATGTCAAGGAAGTCAGTTAAAAGGAATAGGTAGAAGGGCAAAACATCTGCAAGTAGCATGGACATTAAGATACCATGTTCAAGGCTCAGAAAACACAGACCATAAGAAGAAACACCAGGTTCTAAGATGGCTGCCCAACAAGCTAGTATGGTTACTCAGCAAAATCAAGGTAGCTACCAGAGATAACAAAACAAAGCATATACAAAGTACGAAAATAGAAGAGAACAACTTCTAGCAAATTAAGTAAGTAGCTATTGGCTTGTGTTACTATTCTTAAGGGAAAGCTTCTAAAAGGTTATAAAAGCCAACAATAAAAACTCTTTCAAATGTCTCAAAAGAAAAAAAAACCTCAACACCTAGCCAGATTTAGCAAAGCCAATGAAGAAGCAAGACAACATTCACTACTATAAGTGACCTTTACAATGGAAAATCTATACATCAAACACAGTAAAAGGTTTATACACTCTAGTTCCTCTTTAACTGAAAACAGAAATGGCTTTAAAACAAAAACAAAACCAAAAAATGAAGAGCAAGAGATTGCCAAACCCAGACATTGCTAATCCATAGTTCAAATACAAAATTCATGAACTACTAGCTGTGCTGTGCAATCCATCCTTTAATCAACGTCAGTGCTGTAAGACTAGAAGATGACAAGTGCAACACCAGTCTTTAAGAAAAGACAGTATAAGGATCCTGAAAGCTACAGACAAGTCAGTCTACTCCCACGCTGGTCAAAGTAGCAGAGGCTACAATAGACAGAGAGTTAGTTAGTATACATAACTGAACATGATACCATGGAAGAACCAATGCAGGAGCTGCCTCTCAAGTCTAATAGACCCAATTGTATCAATAAGCAAGTTGAAAAAGAAGATCAGGTCAACAGAAGAATACTTGCACGATTTCGACATCTAATAAAGAAACTAAGCCAAGGCAGTGGTTGACCTTCCTGACACTACAAACTGCATACCAAAATCCTCTGATTCCAGAGACACAAGACCTAGGCCTCAAAGAGCCAATACAGGAGAGTCATACCTCACCTGTGACCAAACGTTTCATTGTGAGACCTTAGTAAGGTCCGCTTCAGCAGCCCCTGCTATCTCCCTTCACCTTCCTACAGCCAGGAAATACCCGGCAGACTGCCAGCAGCAGTTAGTTATAAAATACAAACCAAAGATAAGAGTTGTATGTGAATTGCTCACATGCAGATCCCCTGAACTAACCTGGTATGGAAAGAGAGAGAAGGTCCTTGGGAACTAACAAACAGTTAGAAGATTAGAATTAAGGGGTGAAATAAATTACCAACTTTCACAATGACAGAAAGATTCTCAGTAGCCTCCTTCAAAGATCTCTACTAGCAATTGTGCTGTTCAGTGTGCAACAATGATCTGGAGGAGATTGAAAAGTAACAAGACAGCTTCTGGAGATGATGCCAGATAGTCACAGTATTAAAATAAAAACCTGACTGTGAAGAGCTTTAGAAGAATCTCACAAAACTGAGCGATCTGGCAATGAAGAAGCAAAGGAAATTCAAATGTTAATGAATAGAGTAGTGTACATGGGAAATAAAAATAATCCTAACTAAACACACACAGTCATGAGCTCTAAAATGGTTAATAGATTTGTGGAAGGATGTTGGCGTTACTGTGGAAAGTCTTCTAAAACATCGACTCAGATCTAAGCTGTGATCAAAGAGGCAATACAGTGTTAGGAATCAATTAAAAAAAATTGAAAAATAATTCAGAACAAACCAGAAAAGCATTATTATGGCACTGCACAAGTCTGTCACGTTGCTACATCTTCCATTGTGTGACATTCTTAGAATAAAATAGAGCAAAAGTAAAGAAAGTACAAAGAAGAGTGAGGGGATGATCAGAAGTGTTAAGACATTTCCTAACATTTAGCCACTTAGCATCTAGACAACTTTCTATCTTTTTTTCCCCCCTTTCTTTCTTTTTTTCTTTTTCCTTTTTTTTTATTTTCCCAAAAGCAGAGCTGCTAAAGCTTATATAAAAAACCCATATTGTTACAGACTGCAATGAAACCAGCCTCTGTATGTATATTGTGATCTTTTAAAGAGTACATAAGCCAAACTACTCTCCACCTAAGTCAGAAGACGGAGGTAGTAAAAAGTTTTCATTGCAGTCCTATAATAGGGCTGCAAAGTGCTGACTCTGTTGAGAGACCATAAGATAAGCAGCCTGAATGTTGTTCATAACTCCATTGTCACTAACACAAAGGATCATGGAACAGTCAGGAATCAGCTGGACCAAGCAATGTCTTGGTTATGCCTCTGACATTTCACAAACTGATTTGGAAAGAAAACATTTTTTAATAAGCTGTTATAACTCCACAGCATATAACCTGATGACAACACCTCTCTGATAACAGCACACAACACATCCTCTGTTTTTGCTTGCTCACCTGGTAATTTCTTTTCCAGTTGCTGCTGTTCTTCTTCTAATGCTGGTTCTTCTGGTAACCTTTGGTCTACAGATACTGAACTTACAGCAGATATGCCACTACCAGAGCGTACTCTTCTGTCAATAAAACGATAATTCCAAGTTGCTTAAAAGAACCTATGCCTGCCAAATTTATTTATGATTTAATGATGAAATCATAAATTAAATGCAGTGATGTAATGTTTAATGAAATTTAATGTTCCTTCAGTGTTTCCCAGAGGATTTTACTCAGCCATTGCCATTAAGATAACAGTATCCTCCACAGTCCCAACAGCACACACGGGTGACCTGAGAAACCTAGTTCAAAGTTCAGATGTGTTTAACCCTGTCCCCAAGATCTCTGACCAGCCTGAAGTTGGGGAAATGCCGACTTACACTACAGCAAAAGTTGCAAAGACAGAGGAAGAGCTCACTATAGTCAAGCTAAAAACAAGATCCCACATAGAATAAACAAAAAAATTGTAATCTTCAGGAGGATACTTAAAGAACATGAAGCTATGATTGTATGCAAACATTTCTTTCCATTGCTGCTACCATCTTCCCAACCATTCCTCCACAAAAAAGTGAAACAGAGAAACAGAAGTAATGACTCACCACTACTATTCACAGATACAACTGTATCACAAGATGTCTAACTTTGCTACAATGTAAATTCATAGCATGTTTTGAATTCCAGCATATCCCATTTGCTCTACAGAAGTATAAGCTTGAACTGTAACACTTTAAATCTATATGGCCAGACTGAGTAAGTTTTGGAAGGTATGCTAGCATAAAACATTGACCAAAACTGTATTCTTACAAGGAATTCTTGCTACTTCCAGCATCCAGTACTTGTAATAAAACCAAAAAGCTAGACAAGCATTTCCCAACGAGAAGGCACTCTGTGCCATAGATGCAGTACAGAAAGTAGAGGGGTTACTTTTCAATCTCTTGTACTTTATACTCACAAGACAGCTTTCCCAAATGAAATAAAAATTCAGAAGAGAGATTCCAGAATTATAACCAGTTACCTAAAGGAAGGTGGAATATACTCTGGAGGCAGTACAGGTGGCAGCGGCTGACCAGACATAGCTACATCAATTAAGTGCATAGCCAGAATAAACTCTTCGGCTGTAAGTTTTCCGTCTTGATCAATATCGGAAAGATTCCTTTTTAAAGGAAAGGTACAAAGTAAGTAAATTCTTAAACTTTAAAAATCACTGTTAAAAAGCATCATTTTAACGTATTCAGTTCCAAATTAATTTCATTTTTCACTATTTTTTTCACACTATTTTGTTTCTTCAAAACAAATAAAAAGCAAAAACCAAATATTTCACTACTTCCCAAATTTCTCATGCATGTCTGCCTTGAAACTACCCTTATAGCCATGGCTTTACTTCACTTGCTCTTTGAGTGCTGCCTGTACCATATGCTATATAAGTAACATTAATCAATGGAGTTTTCTTGAACACCTTATGAACATCCACTACACAGTATCATTTAGAAAAGAATCAGCTCAGATGTTTGGTAGAACTTTTTGGTTTGGTCTCCTCCTTCCCTGGAGGCTCCTATCTCACATTCCAGAGCACACATTTGCATTAAAATCAAAGCCATTAACATTCTAGTCCTGACAAGCACAAAAACATTTTAGCGTTATGCACATATTAAAAATCATGGAGTAGCGTCTCTGGATGGCCTAAAATCAGTGCTCCAACAGATGCACAAAATGCTTTTACTCATGTTAAGATGGCATTGGATAAAATTTAACAGCGTAAACATCAGCTTTGTTTCTCTAGCATGCTGCACTCTAATCATGCAGGAAAATCTCCCATGATACTATGAAAATCAAAGGTAAGCAACTGATACATTCTTTTGATGTCTCAAGGTAAAGGACTTTGTTTATGGGATTTAAATTTGGAAGACAATTATAGCCCCATTTGATCCATGCTTGTGTTACTGAACTCCTCAGTGAGGATACAAGGACAAGCCAGTAGAATGAAAATCTAGCATGCAAGGATATAATTGATCAGCTATCCTAGCAGTCTGGGTCCACATCTTTGTTACGGAAATACCAAAACAGCTGCTACAGAATAGCTGGCACCCTGCACATCAGTACTTCACTTTGCGTGTCTATGAATCAGTGAATCCACCCCCAATACAGACTGACAAATCTTGCCCCAGAGAACAGCAACAGCAGTTCCACTAGCAGAGAGTAAGTATCAGGAAAGAGAGCAATACTTAGGACAAAAAAACCTGTAAAATCCATTCCTTATCTCAATAGACTTGGCAGTTTTGAATGTCAAAAATTAAGAGAGTTATGTTTAGAACTTCTGGGGTACACTGACATCATGCTCCTGCCCACACAGCCGACTTAAGTGCTGGCAACAAGCAGAGTATTTTATGGCTAATCATCTGCTGGCTGACTGGGTTGATTTTTTTTTTCCTTATAGTAGCTTTGTTAGAAAACAGAGAAGGAGAGAGTGCTTTTTAAGATACAACAGAAACATCAGTGTTTAGCAAAGAAAGCAAGTGCCATTGAACCACCACGTTAGAGTGACAACACAGTTAACACCCTCACACAGAAGTCAGACGGGTTAGTGAGCTGACAATGGTTTTCAAGCAAAGACTTAGGAAGTATAGAAGTTAATTAGAAATAACTTGTAGAGGGCAACTGGAAATTAAAAATATACAGAAGCAGCATGAAGGCCATCTGAGAAGTCACCAAAGATAACCATAAGTCAACAATAACCAAGTACTAGCCAAGTAATAGAGCAGAAACATTACACAGTACACAGGAAAGCATGACCTTCCAAAGTATGAGGGAGGAGAGAGGCTAATCCATGTGACAATAAGAACACAATAAACTTCAGCAAACAAGAAGCTGAAAGGAAAAAGAGAAGCCAAGACAAATCCTTTTAAAATGCATTATTTTAAACATATGTAACTCCAGCCCCTTGGAAATAAGCCCTTAGAAACTCGCATAAAAGGCAGACAAGCCCCAAAGAAAGCATGGTTCTGGATTAAGCTTAATTTTGTACTACCTGTGCAAATGTGTAAGTTTCACTGGTGCTGCATCACGTATGGCCGGGGATGTGGAAGACATAGGAAGCTGAACATTTTGTCTGCCTAAAAACCCCATAATTGAAACCCAACTTAAGAAACGCCTATGTGCATAGTGTAAAAGATGCTCTTTTTTACTTTTGTGAAGTAATATTAATGTAAGCATAGCAGTGCAGGTTTCGTTTTATAAAGTTATACATTAAAAAGAGCAACATATAATGATTTATCAGTGGAGGGAGATTGAAAAGGGAGAAAAAACCCACAGTATACAGTATAGAGGTTTAAATACAGTTTCCAGTTTGGTAGAAATTGATAGATTTATTTTTACCATATTGTAGCCAGCTGAGCCTGGGGTAAACTTGACTGCATAAGAATAGTTCTTGCTTGTGGACCTAACAAAGTGAAACAAGGATCAACAAACAAATAAGCAACTTTCTCCTTTTCTTGCATTACCAAGTAGCTACTACACAAGCAGAGCTCAGTTCTGAATAGGTAACAGTGAAGAGATGTTATCAGCATGAACAGGCTATACATACTGCTGTCCCTAGGCCCCATCCCTGCGCCCAAAAGGAAAACATTAAAAAATACATAACCCTTCCCTTCTCCACAACAATCACTCAGATTAAAAAAAAAAAAAAAAAAAAAGCTATGAAAGGCAAAGAAATGCTCCCAGAACTAGTAAAACTAAGCCAGTGTACCATTCTAGTTTCTCTCTGAAACTGGATAGGCACACTCATCAGTGGATGAACTGAACACTGTAACCGGCTGCACAGGTTTTCACACAACCCATTGTACCCTTTCCAAGAATCATTTCCCAGTGCCAACCTACTTAGCAGAAAATAAAGGAAAGAAGGTGATAAAATGATCCCAGCTACAATAAATACTTGCTCCTAAACAAGATTATTAAGCAGTTGGGAGATTTGAACAGGAAAAATATTGATGGTGACAGCAGAAAGAGATGAGAGTCTCTTACTATCTGAATAGCATCCTAAATGCTATTATAATTGGCAGTTCGAAAAAAGGAGACAACAAAAACTGCTTCAATACCTGTTAAGTGTCCACTCATTGTTTTATCATGGCTATTGAACAGCTGTCTGTACTTCAGTCTTGATGACTGAGGTACAGCCCACTCTGCCACAGGAGGCACACTAGAATTAGAAAAAGAATAAGGAGGGGGGGGAAATAAAATTTTAAATTTAATCACATGAAGCTAACAGGTACAACAGGATGAAGTGCTGCACAGAGATCAAGTTTTATGCCTGAAATGGTTCTTTTCACAAATATTCCCTTTTATTCCTGAAAACACAACAGCTTTGACTTTTGTTTGAAAACACTTATCATAATTCAGTGTCTTAGAAGATGTTTTTTGGTACAGTTGAATGACAGGCCTAAGAGTTTTGCATTTTCCTTTACTAGCAGGGAATTAAGTAACCTAAACAGTTTAGAGGAGCTAAAAGCTTTTACCTAAATGTAATAGGAAATGCCTTACCACAGTCAGCAGAATTAATTTCTCATTTTACCCTGTCTTTAACTGGTTGTCTTAGCCAAATAATTCATAAGCTGATGAAGGAAAACAAATGTAAAAGATGCTGAAAACATAGAAAAAAGTGTGCAAAAGCTACACTTGAAAGCAACCAAAGTTTCTTGTAAATGGAACTCAACTGACAAATGTAATATTCCCAGTTCTAATTCATCCACATAATAGGTTGAGTGCTGTTATTTGTAGCTATAATTTCCCATGCATGAAGGCTGACAAGTCTTCATACTGAAAAACAATGAGCACAGTTTTTCTGTCTTTAGACACATTCAAACTTTGTCCTTTTTTGTTGGGGAGCAGCCAGATTAAATAAGCATTTGTAACATTTTGTAACAACAACAAATTACAGTAAAAACCAAAATGAACCAAAACCACCAAATCCCTTTTCCCTGGTCCATTGAGCAGATAGCATGGTAAAATCTTCCAAAGTTGAGCTGAGAAGGATTATATGAATATTTTACTAATTGACCTCATATCCTATTCTCACATGACAAGACCCAAACCAGCTAATACCTCTATTTCTATTTTCTATTTCCAAACTATTGTGCTTTAATAATACTCTTTCATGGGAGCAAAGCAAAACCAAGCTGCATCTTACATAATGAAAATAAGAACTGAAACTTAAAAAAAAAAAAGAAAAAGCTGACCATTTAAGTTTTATCCATGTGAATTCCTCCCCCACCAGTTTTGCTAGATTTGGAGTTTCCACACATTAAGTCTACTTTTGTCTTACATACGTATGTACCTTCATCTGTGAGGTAAGGTTACTGTACATTAAGTAATGAAACTCTCCTTCACGGATTCTCAAATGGTAGTTTTGGAAGAAAAAATGCTGGAGGACAAAACAGTTGACTCATGTATGCTAAACACCGTGTATTACAAGAGTTCACTACTGGTGATTTGGCAGAATGATAAAAGCACCACAAGTAGAATTTTGAATTTTACCCTTCTCAAAATTCAAAATAATTCACAGCTAGGAAAAAAAAAAAAATACACTTCAACTTTATTTAGCTCTTCTTCCTCCCTTTCCATAAACTCTGCAAATCAATTACCTTGCTATCTGTTTTCTCCAAAATAAAACTTAAAGACACACGCCAGTTCATCACTCAGCATTAGCAGCAGTTTGTGAAGGAACATCCCCTTCAGTGCTGGCAGACGTTTCAGAGTTACTGAAGTAACCGCGATTGAGCTAAGGAAGCTCCAACCCTGGCCTAGGCAGATTCAGAGAACCATGCAATTTCACCTCAGAAAAGAAGCCATGTCATCTGAGGCTCAGGCCTCTGCTGGCAATAGAAGTGACCAGCAAGATTCAGATATATGACAGACCTCTTATGGAATATCTAGAAGCCATTTCAGCTGAAGTTCCCTGAACTTCATTTATTATAAATACCAGAAGTGCTGTTACAGACAAAGCAGATAACTTCTTGTACCTCTCTAAAGTATATCAGAGTATCACTACTATGTTCCTGACGGTACTAGATTTCAAAGAGAAAAATAATTGTTTGTTTTGAAAGATTTTTTGATTGTTGTTTTTGAAAGATTACTGATTATTTGCCAATAATCAGTAGTGTCGCTTATCTAATACCAGGGCACAAGAAAAATGAAAATAAAAATAGATAAATAAATAACGTTCCAACCCATTTGCTTCTTGCAAAAAAATCTATAGTATAGACCCGTGAGAAAGTTTTGATTTATAATAAAAGACTTTGGGAAATTACTATCTTACCTCCTCTAATGAAGTTTTATTTTGTCAGACCATAGTAAAATATATTCTGCCTGACCATACATTTTCCTAGGCCTTGAAATAATCTAAAAGCCTTTCACGTGATTTTTCATGCAGAACTTGAAGAATATATAAGAAACAGTTATGTGAAGTGCATTTAAAATATAAGAACTATTAAATATTTTGCTTTTAAAAATAATTCTAGAGTTGCTAATTTTAAAGAATATTACTTGTTATGTTTTCACGCTAACAGAAGGAGTGCCTGTGCAGTATTACACAATGCAGATTACGTTTACAAATGCTTTTCTAAAAATTAAGTTTTCAAGAGTCTGAAAATACTGTCAACACATACTGTAATAGTTCATTATTATATTTCAATGATTCACTACTCATGGAGCATTCCTTGTAAA